AAACACTCGCTACAAAGGATACGCACATAAGTAAAAGTACAAAATCATGCACAAAACTACTCACGCAAAACAACATTTGCAAAAATGATCATGAAAACACAAACTACAATCCTAGGACATTAATACAAATCAACAAACATGCACAAACACACTCGCTCAAATGAACATGCACAAGCATACATGTAAAAAAACATGCGCAAAAGTGCATTTGCAACAACGTTCTTAAAAGCACGGAGTACAACACTAGGACTTTAATGCGCATAACCAAACAACAGCAAACACACAAGATACAAAAGATACAGCCGAGTGTAGAAATAACACTCAACGTTTACGTTTACGTGGATTTTTTTATGGACTAATTTATATTTATGTTTTAATTGGAGGATTTAGTATTCCATAGGTACAAATTGATAATTAGGTGTCCATGAAGCAAAAATGATCAAAGAGTAAGAAAAGAGTTGCAATTAGGAAAATAAAATCAAAATAGAAGAGAGGATCCCTCAACATCTTCGGTAGTGTCCAAGAAGTCGAGCATAACTTTCTCATCCGGTCTCCAAATCGACTGGTTTCGGCGGCATTAGAAAGCTATTTCAGGTGGCTACAATTCCTGTCTAATGTCCAATTTCCAAATTCGGACTTGAACATGGTCAAAATTGGATTCCAACAGCGATCATGAAAATACCCGCTACAGTTCGAGGACACGAATGCGCATCAAGAAACGTGCACAAAAATACTCGCTACAAAGGATACGCACATAAGTAAAACTACAAAATCATGCACAAAACTACTCACGCAAAACAGCATTCGCAAAAAGGATCATGAAAACACAAACTACAATCCTAGGACTTTAATACAAATCAACAAACATGCACAAACACACTCGCTCAAATGGACATGCACAAACGTGTAGAAAAACATGCGCAAAAGTGCATTCGCAACAACGTTCTTAAAAACACGGAGTACAACACTAGGACTTTAATGCGCATAACCAAACAACAGCAAACACACAAGATACTAAAGATACAGTCGAGTGTAGAAATAACACTACGTTTACGTTTACGTGGATTTTTTTATGGACTAATTTATATTTCTGTTTTAATTGGTGGATTTAGTATTCCATAGGTACAAATTGATAATTAGGTGTCCATGAAGCAAAAATGATCAAAGAGTAAGAAAAGAGTTGCAATTAGGAAAATAAAATCAAAATAGAAGAGAGGATCCCTCAACATCTTCGGTAGTGTCCACGAAGTCGAGCATAACTTTCTCATCCGGACTCCAAATCGATTGGTTCCGGCGACATTAGAAAGCTATTTCAGGTGGCTACGAATCCTGTCTAATGTCAAATTTCCAAATTCGGACTCGAACATGGTCAAAATTTGATTCCAACAGCGATCATGAAAATACCCGCTATAGTTCGAGGACACGAATGCGCATCAAGAAACGTGCACAAAAACACTCGCTACAAAGGATACGCACATAAGTAAAAGTACAAAATCATGCACAAAACTGCTCACGCAAAACAACATTCGCAAAAAGGATCATGAAAACACAAACTACAATCCTAGGACTTTAATACAAATCAACAAACATGCACAAACACACTCGCTCAAATGGACATGCACAAACGTGTAGAAAAACATGCGCAAAAGTGCATTCGCAACAACGTTCTTAAAAACACGGAGTACAACACTAGGACTTTAATGCGCATAACCAAACAACAGCAAACACACAAGATACAAAAGATACAGCCGAGTGTAGAAATAACACTCAACGTTTACGTTTACGTGGATTTTTTTATGGACTAATTTATATTTCTGTTTTAATTGGAGGATTTAGTATTCCATAGGTACAAATTGATAATTAGGTGTCCATGAACCAAAAATGATCAAAGAGTAAGAAAAGAGTTGCAATTAGGAAAATAAAATCAAAATAGAAGAGAGGATCCCTCAACATCTTCGGTAGTGTCCACGAAGTCGAGCATAACTTTCTCATCCGGACTCCAAATCCATTGCATCCGGCGGCATTAGAAAGCTATTTCAGGTGGCTACAATTCCTGTCTAATGTCAAATTTCCAAATTCGGACTCGAACATGGTCAAAATTTGATTCCAACAGCGATCATGAAAATACCCGCTACAGTTCGAGGACATGAATGCGCATCAAGAAACGTGCACAAAAACACTCGCTACAAAGGATACGCACATAAGTAAAAGTACAAAATCATGCACAAAACTACTCACGCAAAACAACATTCGCAAAAATGATCATGAAAACACAAACTACAATCCTAGGACATTAATACAAATCAACAAACATGCACAAACACACTCGCTCAAATGGACATGCACAAGCATACATGTAAAAAAACATGCGCAAAAGTGCATTCGCAACAACGTTCTTAAAAGCACGGAGTACAACAGTAGGACTTTAATGCGCATAACCAAACAACAGCAAACACACAAGATACAAAAGATACAGTCGAGTGTAGAAATAACACTCAACGTTTACGTTTACGTGGATTTTTTTATGGACTAATTTATATTTCTGTTTTAATTGGTGGATTTAGTATTCCATATGTACAAATTGAAAATTAGGTGTCCATGAAGCAAAAATGATCAAAGAGTAAGAAAAGAGTTGCAATTAGGAAAATAAAATCAAAATAGAAGAGAGGATCCCTCAACATCTTCGGTAGTGTCCACGAAGTCGAGCATAACTTTCTCATCCGGACTCCAAATCCATTGCATCCGGCGGCATTAGAAAGCTATTTCAGGTGGCTACAATTCCTGTCTAATGTCCAATTTCCAAATTCGGACTCGAACATGGTCAAAATTAGATTCCAACAGCGATCATGAAAATACCCCACTACAAGAAAAATTGGTTTTAGCGACCCTATGGCATGGTTGCTAAAAGTACAAAAATGGTCGCTAAAATATATAGTGACCAAATAAAAATGGCCACGATAGGTTAGCTACTAAAAGTACTCAGTGACGAGTTTTTTAGTTTGTCATTAAAAGTCTATACTTTTGTGACCATCTAATAATGGTCAGTAAAGATGTAATCGTCAGCGTCAAATTTGTACTCGCTGATACAAAGATTTATGGTTGTTGTAGTATTAACATCGTCACTATAGATACACATACAGTGACCACATACTTTGCATTCACTAAAGATGTAATTACCAGTGACGAATTTCTACTCGTTAAAATTAAGATTTATGGTCGTTGTTGTATAAACATCGTCGCTATAGATACACATACAATGACCATATCATGTGGTTGGTAAATGCATAGTCTCTGTAGATACACATACAATGACCATATCGTTTTGGTTGTTAAAAGAATAGTCGCTACTGATACACGTACAACGACCATTTTTTGTTAGTTGGTAAAGGATAGTCGCAATAGATACACATATAATGACCACATCATTTTGGTTGTTAAAAGAATAGTCGTTGTTGATACATATACAACGACCATTGTTTGTTGGTTGGTAAATGATAGTCGCAATAGATACACATACAATGACCATATCGATTTGGTTGTTAAAAGAATAGTCGCTATAAATCCACATATAATGACCATGTCGGTTTGGTAGTTAAATGAATGGTCGCTATAAATACACATACAACAACCATTTCTTTGTGGTTGGTAAAAATGATAGTCGCAGTAGATACAACATACAATGACCATGTCGTTTTGGTCGTTAAAAGAATAGTCGCTATAGAGACACATAAAATATATACAATGACCATGTCGTTTTGAGTGATCAAAGATACCAATATAGCAATAAAATGACTAGTCGCAATAATATTAATGTTTGTTGCTACCATATTATAATACTCATCGAGTCCCCGTAAAATAATAACTGGTTGCTAAATCATTTATATGTTAAAGACCAAGAAACGGTGACAAAATAATAGCTATTGGTTGTATCATCTAGTCTATCTGAAAAATAACAGAGAAACTACAAAATGTAAAACACAAGTTGATGATACTTACAAAAATTACTCGGACATCTCATATAATGCTATATCACCAATCATTATATATGTACCATAACAAACAGACTACACCAATTCACAATATAACGAAAAACAAACCCAAGAAAAAACAATTTGTATATCCGTAATCCAACACACATTTTGCCACTCGATTAGGCCAAAAAGCTGCAGAGGCAGGTTTGTACTCAAAGCGACAATAATATTTGTCTACACCAACACTGCCCTGCTTAATATAATTCTTGAAAGTGTGAACTACGCATTTTCCCACAATTGTGTGATGTGAGCACTCTTGAGTGTCATAATGATTAGATCAGAATAACTCTTTTGGTTCATCAAATTGTCTCCTCCCACCAATAACTCTATCTGCCCTATATACTATCTCACTCAAATAGTCACTTCACTACGATTGTCGAATCAATATTTTCCGAACGTGCGACACAAGAGGCTGAATTGCTATATGATGGTCTCATCAACACAGTCTCCAGCTTTAAATCCACATGAGTACAATCAGAAAAAAAAATGATAAGCCGTCATTCTTACATATCTAAGAAATAGATACACCAATTTTATGCAGGTAAAAGCTCAATCACCAGATTTAAAAAAAAAAAGTTCCGATACACCACGACTAATTTGATTGACGAGATAAAATAATAACTTCAACAACAATTATTAGTGAACAACTTCAAGATAAAACAATTGCACCCGTAGACCATACTCTTTATAGATCTATTACCTAGCACCTACAAAGTATTGACAAAAATCTGGTAGGACTAGAATAAGGTGTATGTGTTAAAAAATTAAACCATGTTCACACTGTAAATAATAATAGGAGCAATAAACTTACGATCATATACTGCATTCATTGCAATTTCGCCATATACAAAAATAGCCTGTTCCAGAGCTTGACTGTAATCAGTTGATCAATAGAAAAAAACGTGTTACTACAATCTAGATAACTCAGCCAAGCAACTATTAATTAAATAGTAATCATCATTACCCGAACATGCATGTGACTGTGGGATGATATTTATCGTCAATGAAGGCTTTTTTTCGCAACATGAATGATTTTACCACCTTGATCAAATGGATCAGTCAAATATAAAGAAATCAATCAAGACTTCATATCTAAAGAAACATAACAAAAAACTAAAGATATTCTACCCCAAAATTTTGGACAGACAACCAATTAATATCATCACATTGCACCAATAAAAAATAATGTATAATTATAAATATAAATATATAGATATACATATATATATATATATATATATATATATATTAATTTGAACAAAAAAACTCATTATAAGCATATATAATATTAAATTTTGACTATAATATACACTAGCATGTGTGTATATTCTAAAAAATGTCTAATCATTAGAAAATTCACATAAATACACCACATAAACGTCGATAGCATTCATATGTACTAGACATGCGCTAACAAGTGGACAGTAGAAAAAGTACCATCTTTTTTCATAGAAAATAAATCAAATATTGAATACATACCAAGGAAAATGACAGATGTTGGCTCGTCTCCTACTTCCCCATCTTGAGTTTGGGTTATTTCAATCATTGACTACCATCATATAGAAACAACAAATATGTCAAAAGTCAATCAAGTAATATGAGTTCAATGAAATTTATGGTCACAAAGTGTAACATAGTGTAATACAAATGTAAATTACAGCCAAACTAGCACTTTTTTGGTCGATAAAATAGTCAAATGACTTGAGACAAAAAAAATAATGCCAAAAAGATAAGCGAAAAAACTAAGCTTTGTTGTCAGGTGAGTGACATCTAATTCTCGGACGTAATCAGTTTCGTCATTTGTAACTACAATTCCTGCAAAAATATTTAACATGAACAAAATGAAAACTTTGATAAACTAAAACATTGAGCAGTATCAAGTATGACATCCAACTTAAGAACTTTTTCATGAATCTATACCAACTGCTACTAGATACTAATAATATGATGGACCCCAAATATAATACTTCAATCAACAACGAAAAAGCACTACACATATTCAGAATCCACGATAGATACTCACACATACCAGTTCAATATACTGAAGCTATAATGTTAGGACATAATACATACAATGAACTAGAAATATACCTCAGTCTGGTAATATTTTCAGGTGACTTCGGCAATATTTCAAAAGAAAAAAGATAAATTATAGCAACTAAGGGTACGATCACATGCGAAGATCCTCAACAATCATGTAGACCTTAATGATTTAATTTTTGTGCCTTTGTTGAACTTGATAATAAAATATTTATTGATGTCCCTAGTGAATTTCTTTTCACCTTAAAATCGGAGTTATTATCTTAAAAATCACAAACAAAATCACAAACAAAATGAAAAGTTCAAATACTTGATAAGATTATATATATATATATATATATATATATATATATATATATATATATATATATATATATATATATATACCTCCCAGCATAATGAATCATCAAAAGACGCAGAAGCAAAAGCTTCAATATTTGAACCCTTGACCTGAACATACATTTTTTGAAGGGCTTGCCTTGCAAGTTCTTGAAAGTCAGTTATACTTGTACCACATTCAACCATGATTTTGCCCTGTAAAGGAAAAAAAACACCAAAGTTTCTCATTAATTAATTTCTTGAAAATGTAAAACCCCAATCACATACATAAACACTATTCTCAGACAAATTAAGACGTAAAAAAAAGCAAAAAGGAAAAAAGAAAGTTACGAGAAAATAATTAAGGATCAACTAAACCAGAAACGGGCAAGTTATGAATTGAGCATACAACCTCAGCTCCATACCAATTTAGTCACATTCAACTTTGTTGCTGAATATTGTGGATGTGAGTGGACACTTGCTACAGATAAATGTCATTTAAGTTTTAAATATCACTATGAAAAAAAGTAATTACCTCATGTTGAATAACTTGTTCAACCCATGTTGAAATTCTTGCAAATTGTAAATTGACCCACTGGAGCACCAATGTTACATATACGACCAATATCCAAACAATCAAAATAAATAAATCTCAAATAATAAACATTGAAAATAGCAGAAATTATTTTAAATTCTTTATACCTGGATCTTTTTACTATTCCAAGTCGCTATCTATGTCAGCATGAGATGCAACTTCATCGTCGCTGCTCCAATACTCATCTAGAGTGTCATCTTCTCCATCATCATCTTCTCCTTCATCTTTATCACGTGGATAAATTATCTTTTCTGGAATTTCGATCTCCAAAGGAGCTTCATTATTACGGTGTATCAATCCAATCTCTTGATCACTATCTTGAATGTTAATATGAGCACAACTTTCTTGTTGATACGCGTCATTTGTATCAGGTTCATTTCCATCGATAGATCGAATGAATGATGGGTCGAAAAGATGTCGATGTTGTACATGTTGAACTACTTTCCAATTTCCACCTAATTTTGTATCACTGACATAGAACACTTGGGATACTTGATTTGCTAAAATATAAGGTTCACTTTCATACCACAACTCACCCACATTTTAGCTTGTAAGATCACTATCTATCTTTACTAATTTGTTCCGATCCAAATTAAACCATTTGCAACTGAATAGTACGCATCGGTAACCGTGGGTATAGCTCAACTCAATCACATCTTCTAAGACACCATAAAATTTGATCATTTTACCTTTGTGAACAGAATGTGTACAAACTCCACTATTTTGTGTCACCCGTCTAGAATCTCTTTTGCTTGATAGATACTTGACACCTTCTACGATGCACCCACTACATTTACTAATACGATAATCAGGCCCAGAAGCAAGTGCAAGAAGTTCATTGGTAGCTTCTGGGGATTTTATGCTGCTCAACGTTTTCATCTAATTTTATGAAATAATGTGAGTTAACATGTGTTAAATAAGGAAAATATTAATATATGAAAAAAATGAAAACATAATTTCGAGATCTTACTCGACTATCAAACCATGAAGCAAACTCTTTCTTTTGTCTAGTCTCCCAACCAATAGGATTTTCTTGTTTAAGTTCTTCTTCATGCTCCCTGTAAAATGAAAAATTAACCCATCAAATAACGTTTAAGTGCTGTTATGGTATTTAAAAATTCTACTTACCTCAAATATGAATCTAACTCCACGCAATTATTCAAGACAAACCAATGCAATGAACTATATTGTTGAGGAGTCAACTGTACAAAATCTGTTTCTCCAAAAGTTCGAATTTTACTTCGAAAAACAGAGATTGTTGCATCTGGATGTTCCTCACCATCATAATTTCTTTGCTCTCTATTGTATTTCGTCTCAATTTCATGGAGATACAATGAACAAAAACTCAAACACTCTTTCACGATATAAGCCTCTGCGATTGAGCCTTCGGGACGAGCTCTATTTCGAACCATCCCTTTCAGACTACCAAGATACCTATAATTATATGAAAATACCTATAAATCTGACACATAACATAGATAAAAAAATATAAGCTATGCAACTAAGCAAACAAATCAAGAAAAGAAAAAGTAAAACTAAATTCGTTACCTTTCGATAGGGTACATCCATCTATAGTGAACAGGTCCACCAATCTTTGCTTCTTGTGCCAAATGAATTGCTAGATGGACCATCACATCAAAGAAAGCAGGTGGAAATATCATTTCTAACTTGCTTAATATCACAGGAATCATTTTCTCCAAATTTTCAAGGACATCCAAACTCAATTTTCTAGAACATAACTGTCTGAAAAAACTTGCCAACTCGGTAATAGCATTAAGAACATCTTTATGTAAGTAACCACGCAACCCTACAGGAAGCAAACGTTGTAATAGAACATGACAATCATGACTTTTCAGCCCTGTTATCTTACCATCTTTGATATTCACACATCTGGATATATTTGCGGCGTACCCATCCGGGAATTTTACTCCTTTCAAGAACTCACAAAAATCTTTTTTCTCCTTTCGGGATAGGGTATAAAGTGCACGCGGCTTTAAACACTTCAGCTTACCTTCTTTATTTGCTTTGGCACCTTCTATTGGCTTCAAGTGTAACTCACTTCTTACACCTATATCCTCTAAATCTAAACGAGACTTTTCAGTATCCTTTGTTTTACCATCAATATCTAATATAGTTCCCATCACATTATCACATATATTCTTCTCAATGTGCATTACATCAAGATTGTGCCGTAATTTTAGTTTAGACCAATATGGCAACTCAAATAATATACTTTTTTTTGTCCAACATAAGTCATGCGAAGGACGCTTTCGTTTTTTATCCATGGGCTGCTTGCCAAGCACAACATTTTCTACATTTTCTAGTTGTATAAGAATTTCAGCATTAGAAAGCTCCATCGGTTTTGATCGGTGTTCTGTCCGACCATTAAATTTGAGACTTCTACGATATGGATGATTGCGTGGCAAGTAACGCCTGTGGCCGATATAACCAATCTTGCTCCTTAGCCTTTGTGAAGGAGTTTCGGAACTACATCTTGGACAAGCACAATATCCCTTTGTTCGATGTCCAGAAATATCACCATACGCAGGAAAATCATGAATTGTCCACAAAATTGCAGCATGTAAAACAAAAAACTCTCCAGTTTTAGCATCTCTCGTTCTTACTCCAGATTCCCATAACTCCTTGAGATCATCTACCAAAGGTCTCAAATATACATCAATATCTCTTCCAGGTGACCTAGGACCCGGAATTAATAGGGACATAATAAAATAAGGTTCTTTCATGCATAACCAAGGGGGTAAGTTATATGGCACCAAAATCACCGGCCATATACTATAGGAGTTATTCATGTTACCGAAAGGATTAAACCCATCAGTGGCTAGTCCAAGGCGGACGTTTCTTGGATCTTGAGCAAACCATGGATATTTTTTATCGAGATCTTTCCAAGCTTCAGAATCTGATGGATGGATCATTGTACCTTCTTCGTCAATTTTTCCATCTTTATACCATCGCATATCAGACGCTGTCTTTCTCGATAGATAAAGTCTTTGCAGTCTTGGCTTTAGAGGAAACTAGCGCAAAACTTTATGAGGAATTTGTTTTCCTTTTCCATCATTTACTTTCCATCTAGATTCTTTGCATATTGGACAGTTAATTAAGGTCTCGTGTTCTTTCCAAAAGAGAATGCAATCATTTTTACATGCATGGATAAACTCGTAACCCAACCCAATATCTTTTAATACCTTTCTTGATTCATAAAACGATGAAGGAATAATATGACCATCAGGCAGATATTGTTTGAATAAATCAATAATCATGTCATAACATTTATTAGTCATTCGGTTCAAAACCTTTATGTGAAGTAGTTTGACAAGGAAAGATAACAATGATTTGGAGCAACCAGGATATAACTTACGTCGTGTATCTTTCAGCAATTTATGAAAATTTCCCACTTCATCATCAGATACGAGATTTGGTTGACCAGCATGAGTATCATCACAATGGTCGAATGGACCTTCATAATCATCATCAAAATTCTGCATCCCAAAATTCAAATCCTCCAACATCTCTTCCTCTTCAAATGTCTCATCTACATTATCATGAACATTCTTATCTTCCACATATTTATTAGACTTTTCACCATGATGCACCCATTCATTATAAAAAATATCTATCCCATTAGTGAGTAAATGCAATTTAACCAAGTAAGGTGGGTGCAAACTCTGATTTAAACAATCTCCACATGGACAAGGCATATCATTTCTCTCCCCAATATGCTGTACAGCAAATCTCATGAAATTTTTAACTCCATTAACATATTCTTCTGAAGTAAAATTATTGAGCTTGATCCAAGTCTTATCCATTAGCAACTTTTATACTAAAAGAGAAAAGAGAGGTAAAAATATTAGATTATGTAATAACTGACATGAATTACATAAAAGAATAATACTATGAACACTATAGCAAGTAAACACATAAAGCAAAAGACGCATAATGAGTATGGTCTAATATATATAGAATGGGGTGTTCAGAATAGACCTTAATTTATTTTCCAAATGCAGAAAAGACTCTTCATTAATTTATATTTGCCCAATAGTATAATTCTGTAAACAAATTATCAACCTTCGAATTTCAATATTACCACATAGCTATGCTGTAAACATGAAACATGCATAGTAGTTCTTTAAAGTAACAAACTTTCAATTACAATATTATTCCATTAGAAAGATTTAGCATATATTCTCTTAACAGGAATAAAATGTCTGCCTGCTTCTTGTCATTACTTGCTTCTTATCATTACTCGAAGAACAATATAAAATTAAAAGAGAAAATATATACAAATTAAACAAAACTACTATTTGTTTCTATGCATGCAATTTATTTTATTTATCAACAGATACATGTATCACAAATTCACAATTGGATCTTTCAAAAAATGTCATTCTTTCCCTCAATCAAAAATGTCATCAGAGCTTTCAAAAAAGAAAAAAAAACCATTGTAGAACAAAATTGATTTCTAAACTATAAAGAATCGTACAACCCTTAATTTACAAACAAGAAGACCCATAATTTAAAATAACGAAATTTAGTAGAACTAGGGCTTTTTGAAAAGTAAATTCGATGAACAATTTATATATATTGAGAGAAATTGG